CACACATTCACGAAAAAGGCCAAATCATAACAAATAATACCTCCCCCCTCCCCAGTAATCTACAAATAGGAATTGCTTGCAGTTGTTAATGGTTCTTTGTTGGCTACCCCCCCCCACCACTAGTTCTACACTAGTGTTATGCTGCATAGGCCTATTTGTATTCAGAGTATGTATTGTATTCGTGTAGTTAATTATGCATTTATATATGTGAGGCAGCGTGTTGAAATCAGGAACTCGTCAAAATACAGAAATCGGAGAAACAGGCATTTTTCCATCAGTATGGAAATTTTCATCGAATTTTTATTTTTAGGCTAAACCTCTTTTATGTCTATATAAAAACGCACTTCCCTGTAAATTTTACCGAAAAACAATCGACAGAAGGCACACATTTTTCTTTTTTCAAGGACTCTTTTAGCGCTTGGGGTTACCAAACTTTGGTGGCCATTTTCTAATTTATTTTACAACTGAAACCAGGCGACCTTACTTTCTTAAATAGCAAATATCCTGAGTTCTGTTCAAGATAGATGGATATTTATTTCATTGGAACCAAGGCAAATAAATCGGCTTTCAGATGATACCAATAACTCCTCATGCCCCAAAACTGAGGAACGCCTGGTTCTACTGCGTAGTGATACATATGACTATATACGTTCTCCTTTGTAACTGAAGTTTTTCAACGGGATTCAATGAAGTCTCGTGTATTTATTATTTATTTATCATTAGTTCATGGTCAGAGTGAGTGTGGTTCAAAACTATGGAGATTTATTTTTGCTCGCCATTCTATTCTATAACAAAAAGCAGTCAAAGAAAACTGGGGGTTGGGGTGGCCTAGAGGTTAAGGGGTTTGCCTCATTCAAAGGTCCAGGGTTCGAATCCGGGTAGCGACAGAAACATTTTCTTCTCTAAAATTGTCTCCTTTCACCTCTTTTCCTGCTCTCTAGCAAATGTTCTGTGATCTGTTTTCGTATACACTTTCTGCCCCCATCCCTTCACCTCCTTTGCCCCCTCCTCTGGGCTCCTGACTCTTTCTGCATCCTTTCTACTGCTACTCCTTGGCTCCTTCTTACTGCTGTCTTTCTGCCACACCCCTGATCTTCTGGTAGGAAAGATCTACACCTAGCCCTCTCGGACAAGGGCGAAAAATCTCGGAGGTCCCGCGTGCAAGTTGCGCACGTTAAAGATTCCCTAGTGGTCCAAAATCGATAAGAGTATGCTTCGGCTGCCACCCGGGCAAAATGCAAAATTCCCTACCAACTGAAAACGTTAGGTGTGTCCCGCATGCTCATATTATGACCTTATGCAGTTGCCAGCGCCGTAACACACCTACCCACCCCCTAAAAAAAAGAAAAAGACAAATTATTTACATGTTTATACAAAAGGCTTCAAATATAGATAGATCATTTGAAAAGCCCCCTCGAAAACAAATACCCCCCCCCCCCACTAAAAAAAGACAACAAACAACAACAACCCTAAACATAACCGCCGAACAGAAAAAATATAAGAACAAAATAACACAAAAAGCAAACACCCCCCCCCCCCCCCCATCCCCGAAATACACACATTTTGTTAATTAATAATTTAAAAAAACCAAATAAAAAAACCCCGACAACACACAAGCAGAGAACGAGATCAGAAAGAAAGAAGAAACAGTGAAGACTTTCTCTTACCATTGTGACAGGAATCACTGTCGGAGGAGTATTTCTCTGTTGGAGCCGGACTCAGCATGCTCGCTGGAAGAGAAAAAAACCGAACAATATTAAATAAAGGGAAGAAGTGAAGTGAGGTGGTTGCTTTGTTTGTTTTAGTAAGAGTTTTACGGCCCTAGCAACTGCGTAAGGTCATATGAGCGCGCGAAACACAAGTCGGTTGTATTCACAACAGTTTATAGCACGCCTTGGTTATACGTCAATATTTCGTTTAAAATGTTAAACATTTGAGATAAAACATCGGATTTTAAAATGACACTTTAAATAATTGTTAAAATAACGCTATCTGCAATTTATAGTAAAGACCAACGGCCTTCATGAAATCGAGCATTCTGTTGGGATCAACGACAGAGAACAGATTGTGCAATTATATTTGCATTTAAAATACTTCCCTCGGGACCCTCCGAAGTCTGGACATTCTGTTAAAATATGTCTAATGGTAAAATCTGTGTCGCATGAACGGTTTCTCAGCCATCTGAAGGAGGTATTTGTGTGTCAGGGAAGTGTGTCCGATGTGTAATCGAGTAAAAATGACTTCATCTCTTCTGGATAGGTCCGAAGGTTTTCGTGAACCCAGTTTAGTCGTGATGTTGTGAAGTTTTTTTGTTAATTAAATTGTTTTTTCCAATGTATCTCCCACAGACGGTGAAAGTTTGGCTGAGATATTCACCTTTTATTTTAAAAAAAGAACTTATTCGACGTTTACATCAATAAAAAAAAGGACACAATAGAAATAAAAACTACTATAAATACCCTATTTAAAGCACCGCAGCCACCAGATAGCTACCATGAGCTGCCCCGCCAAGAACAGGTGATTGTCTTCCGACTAAGAACCCAACACACAAGACTGAGACAACCTATGTACAGATATTTTAAACTAGCACAGTCACCAAAATGCCAGTGTGGAGAGGCGGACCTAACAGTTGAACACATCCTTCAGCACTGCAAGACACACAGGGTCCACAGGGCCCAGAGACAGGAAACGTGGTCAACCCTACTGACACCTCAAGAGACGCTATACGGGCCGACAGATGAACTGAGCAGAACGGCCCAATTTATGACAGATACCAGACTTCAAGTGTGATGAGTCGAGAAGAAGAAGAAGATGGACACAACAACTCTCCCTTTCTCTCTCTGTCTCTCTGTCTCTGTCTGTCTGTCTGTCTGTCTCTGTCTCTGTCTCTGTCTCTCTCTCTCTCTCTCTCTCTCTC